GACCACTGCCACAACCGAAAAGGTGTGGGTGTGGTTCGTACGCCTCCTTTTGGTTTTTTTGGAATCAGGGCTTTTAGCCAACTCCCCTAGGTGAACTACCAGTGGTCCACCAACCCGGACATCGGCTTTTCGTCTTCTCACTTTGGTGGGAAACCGCCGTGAGAAGGCAGTGAGTAGGGCTTCCTCAGCAGAGGCTATTCGAGACGCTTGGTCTTATAGGAGCATTTCATGAGGTGCAAAGGAAGGGTGACCAGCCGCAACCCTAGACACCCACCCTCGACCATACTGAGGCTTTCGGAGACAAAGAGCACACCCACGGCCGGAGTCTGTGAGATTAATGTGCTAGAGCATTGAATTCCTTAGCCTAGCCATCGCAGGCTAGGGACCATATTGCGTATGCCCAACTATCGTCTTCCGCACCGCGCTTTACTCGCTGTAGCCACTGCGGGCTGGAGGAAACCACGTTAAATTCAACAGATAACTTGGAGACGACGCATGAAGAAATGCACCGAGCCATTAGGCAGAGTAGTTGTCTCGTGCCTTTCAGGTTGGGGTCCCAAATATCTCGCATCTGATTGGTTAGAGGCATTGATGAATATAACAGTGAACCGATATCAGTAGTGTTCTTATTATTTCCTATCAGTTCAGAAAGCACGAAACGGTGTATGCAATGAGATTGTGTACTCTGTGTTGACCATAAAGTTTTGCTTTGTTTTCCTGTCCCTAAAAATAGGTCCAATCCTTATCCACCTTACATCTCCTTACTAACTTTCTATGCATTGCGAGTTGGGCAGCGATCAGTGAAGTTCGCTTCACTGTATTTCACTGTGTGATGATGATCATACGTCGGGTTTCTGTAATTTCGTAAATACATAGTCCTGCCATTGGTTCAAACCAAATGCGTGTTTTAAACACCGTGATTTCGATTGCGCGACTCACTCCCTATCATGTTTCAGTTTTACTCTAATTTTCAAATGACAATTCGTCGTGTATGTAGCAAATAAAGCGTGAACTGAAAAGCTCGGAAGCACTGAACAGCTGTTTCGACCTGGTTGGGTCTCATCAGCAGTGCGAATCCATCGACCCGACTGAGGATCAAACCGGGAAGCACATGGGCAGAACGCAAGCGTGCTACCCACTACGCCACCGAGCAGCTGATCAGACCGTTCCCCCTTCATGGGCAGAACGCAACCGTGCTACCCACTACGCCACCGAGCAGCTGATCAGACCGTTTTTTACATTTCCAGTTCACGCTTCATTTGCTATATACACGACGAATTGTCATTTGAAACTTAACCAAATCCTCCATTACCCACATGATTTACTCTAATTGTTCGCAGTTATCCCGATTTTAATCTGACTTCATCTTGTCTTTGGTGACTGTCTCCTATTCGGCTTCATGGAAGAATCTATAATGGATTTTGGGAATATGGTACAAAATGTATCATTCTGCCTATTTCCAAGGGCGTACCACCTCTAGCTTCTGCACAGACTAGGGCAACAGGAGATAACGATAGACTTGTTTTGTGCTGGGCTGGGTCCGCTGATCCCGATTCCTTGTACAGACATTTGGGATTTTAGTTGCAGAGAGATCAATGTCACGGCGAACAACACTCGTCCTCAGGCGTCGTGACACTGTTCGTTGGCGACCACTTATTCCATATAGCAATAGCCACCAATTTAGTGCGTGTTGCCTGATTTGCAACCTGGTAAAGCGCTCGGTATCGTATACAGCTCTACTGGCCGTAGACCTACAGCAGCAGGCCTCCTCCGGCCTGGTTTATCTCTCACAGGTACCAGATTGGGCATTGCTTAAATGTTGTAGTGGCTTCCATTACACGGCTGATTGCCACTCAAAAGGTAAATACACACGTTATTTTGATCTTTCACACGTCAGCGTTTGTTGATAACCGCTTGGTTAGGTTGCCAGTCATTGACATACACCGACGTTCGAAATTCCAACTCTGACACCACTGGTAGTTAGGGCTGATGACTGTGATCGAGCCGCTTCCTTTCTCCCCGATTTAAAAGCGAGGTTCGAATATTGTGACCAACACTCAACTTTAATAGTGTGTAGCTGTGGTTTCGTCCTTTTTGACATCATATCCATCCTATTGAGAATTTTTATGAGATTCTTCTCGAAGTCGAATGTTTACGTTACTCGTTAGCTTAACTGCCGGACTTAAATCTTTTACTGTTCATCACAGTACGATATGTAATAAAAAATGTTTGAATAATAGCCAACACTTACTTATCTGATCGGCCGATGGAGAGCTGTGTGTGATTAAGCTAAAGCTGATGTACGCAGTTGTCGAATGAGTTAGGCCTTGACAATGAGAATCTTCTTTTTCATAAATGGTGAGGTGGTCTATAAAAAATGAACAAATAATTAAATACAAACCTCACGGCTTGTTAAAAGAAAGAGACTGTCTGTCGAGGCAACACGCAGTTTACCAAGGTCATCTTGTGCGCTTACCCACCAACTAGATGTCTCGAATAGATATTCCGTGTTTCTGAGACATGTTTGCTTGTTGCTTATATCGCTGGTTTGCGTGCGTTTTTCGCGCATGGGTTCGAATTCCGCAGTTCACTTAGTTAATGTCACTGCATAATCCCTGTATTATCCTACGGTTGCTTATCGGCTAGATTTGTACGCTTCGGTTGATGGTCAACCAACGACGGGGAGTGTATGGTTTGCCCTCTAATTTTCGTGTTTGACTTAGTTATGCATTTGCTTCTCAACGGGTGCTTGGGTTATCTATTGTATGCTTTTGACTCTCGCGTGCAATGCACACTACTACTCTAACACATTTTAATTTCTTCCCTTCGTTTGCCAGCATCCGTCATCGAATGTACGCTACGCATGGTCATCCGGATATTCCGCTCCCACTTACACAAATTACCATCAAACGCAACAACAGCAAGCGATGATGCATCAGACACAACAGTCGTACAAAGTCTACTATAACGGACCGTCATATGATCAGATGCCACCCGCTAGTAACGGGATGGTGTATCCAATAGATCCGTATGGATCACACCAAGGCTATCCGCGGCAGATGAGCACAGCTGCCTGTGATCAACACATGTATGTGCAACAACAACAACAATCACACACACAACCGCAGCTCATGCACAGCCCAACAGTAACGTCCTCATACGTCCAGTTTGGTCAACCTGTTACGGCTCCGTCCATGGATTCATTCTCATCAATAGATTATCCACATCCAGGTCAACGCGTTCAGACGTTGTCACATCCCAATCTGCGGTCATCCGGCGCGGCTCCGTTGCAGACTAATGGGAGTGCAGCATCCCGACATCCGGTGCCACAGTCCCATCTGCCTGTCGCTCCGTACGCAAGTATGGATCGTAGAGTACCGGATATAGGGTCAACCGAGGTCTATCCGAATACCGCTAGCGGCGACGTGAATCCCATATGGCCATCCGCAGATACATGCTCCTCATCATCCTCAGCCTACATGTCGGAATCCGCATCTGTTGCACTGCCTACCTCTCAAGTTATTCGAACTGGATTCAAAGGCCACATGGGTTCCTTGCAGTCAAACGTCTCGGGGTTGCATCCAACGGATCCAACTCATTGCCTACCGGCAAACTCCGCGGCTGTCGGTGGCAATTACGCAACAGACTATGTCCAAACTGGTCGCTCAATGGCTGAATCAGATCAAAACCGAACGGCAGCGTCATGTCCCACGGGCGCGAATGTACCCACATTACCGAACGCCTCATCCACGTCGTTCCTAGTTCGGCCGATGGGCCCCCACGTAACTCCAGTCCCAGTGCCTAACCATCACCATCAACAGCAGTCACAACAACAAGTACAGCAGCAGCCCCTGGGACAACACCAGCAGCATCCTTCCGTTCACGTTCCAAATCAGGCTGTGGAGGTTTTCGATAATACTGTCTCAGCTTGTCCTGTTGTGGCCAGTCGATGAGGGTGAGTTTCTCATTACTCACGAGATAATGTGGAATATTTTTGGTGCGGATGCTTGCTTGATAATTAATATATACACCGAGTGAAGCTTTTGATTATTATTATTATAAGTCGGGGAAGAATTCTTGTTATTGATACCGTTGCTCATTCTCTTCCAGTGTGGCAATCTTGCTGAGTTCCATGTAATGAGTCGCATTCGGCAGCGATCAGTGAAGTTCGCTTCACTGTACCCCGCTGTACAATGCGGAGGCTGATGGTCGCATGTAATATATATATATTCACACATGCCTGAGTTAGGATGATGTGCCATAAAATCACGGTGCAATATTCTCCATAAAAGAAAAAAGTTCCATGAGTTGCTCTAGGGCACGATACTGCTAGTTGTCCAGGCCAGAGCAGGTGAATTTTCTCGGGGATTCACAACCGGGACCTTCGGCTAACCAAAGCCTGAGCCGCGGGGTAGGGTGTGAAAACTGCAATCCATTGAGGGTCGCTGTCTAGTTCATCGGATCATGCGCCCATTGGACGGAGTCAAAAGTCCAAGGTATCCGATACACGTCAATGCGCAGTAGAGCCGATGACCACTAACGCAATCAGGAAGTTGTGGATGAGTGTCGTTCGTACACCTCTTCTTGGTTGTTTCGGAATCGGGGCTTTTAGCCAACTCTCCTGGGTAAGCTGACACTGGTTCAACTATCCATTTATAGCTCCGTATGTTGGCTTTTCGTCAGTTCACTTTGGTGGGAAAACACCTCCGCCACTAGAAGNAAAGTCCATGGTATCCGATACACGTCGATGCCCAGCAGAGCCGATGACCACTAACGCAATCAGAAAGTTATGGATGAGTGTCGTTCGTACACTTCTTCTTGGTTGTTTCGGAATCAGGGCTTTTAGCCAACTCTCCTGGGTAAGCTGACACTGGTTCAACTATCCATTTATAGCTCCGTATGTTGGCTTTTCGTCAGTTCACTTTGGTGGGAAAACACCTCCGCCACTAGAAGGCAGTCAGTAGGGCTTTCTCAGCAGAGGCTACATGAGACACTTGGTCCTATGGGAGCAATCGGCGAGGTATAAGGAGTGGGGGTTATCAGCCGCTGCCCGAGACATCCACCTTCTACCATACTAAGGCTTTCGGAGACTGTTGTCTGTTGACTATCGCATGTTTCCGTTGTACTCTGTTAGGCTACTATCCTGGTCGCGTTCGTTACTACTTGAGTTGCTTTGGCCACCTGATTAGTCTACTTGCAGTCGTAATTCTGTGTACCGTTTTTTGCTAACATCTTTTGTCTGCCCTTGGGTAGAACGATGCTGAAGTATTAGATTTTGAGTAGTACCAAGCGAAAGGTGCAGAATACATTCCTGCTAAATGGGCTCAGAAAGTGAGTAGATGCACGAGTGCCACATATAACGACGTTCACCACCCGTAGCTGAATAGTATCTGTCCTCGCGAAGCCTCTTGCTTATAAGAGAGGTTTTGGACAACTGAAAATGTAATCCATTATACACGTGTAGGTAGATTTTTCCAAATCGTGGACTCTACACCCGAGCATCTTGAGCTCATAGTCGAGGTTTCTATCTCTCTCTCTGCAGTTAAATGTATGTGCTCCACTTTCCGTCACTGTTCTTTATCAACCCTGTATAGATAAATGCCTGAAGTTGTGTTTGTACAAAAACAGACCCGCATTCCCAAGTTAGGGACAGGAGAGCCACCCATGCAATTGGTAGCTAGTCTGAATAAGGCAAGTTCAAACTCACTGAATTCGGGGCCCGGGAGCATGAGGGGTTTTCGCTTGGTACACCTCCGCATAGACAGCGATATAGGTCTAGCTGCAGTACTGTGGCATGACAAATGTGACCCACCACCTGTTTTCGCATTCATTTTACCTGGCAAAAACTTCCAGATTATGCGAATAGATCAAACTGCTTACCACGGCCTTGTGTGAAGCAAACCTTCTGCTTTGTGGATTTCATTCGTACAGGTAAGGTTTAAGTGACAATGGAATGGTCAGTTGGTGCTTAGGACTCTGTTCCGAGTCTTATTCCCGAGAATTGGTTGTTGTGATCTGTGAGGTCAACTGGTCTGTTCGAAGGAGATAGTCGTGAAAAAGTTAAAATAGGTATGTGAGGAGAGGGAGATCAAAATATTTCGACTCCGCCTAATCCTGTTGTTTACCGCTTTGTCAGTTGACAGCAATTCATGAAATTGAAGACATACTGAGCAAATTCGGTCTGTTCGCGTTTTGGCTTGACGATTGAGGTTCATTGGACTATTTGCGTGTATTGGATGAACCTGTTCTCTAGTTCGCAGAACGTGAAATCGGTATGCTGTTTGTGATGTTGATTGGCTAGTTTCACGTAGTACTGTCGCTTTGTTATTTGTGCTCGAGCCCATTGTAAGAGCGGCTGGCTGTAAATCAGGAAATTATTCGATGTGGAAAGGGTCTTTGCTCTCTAATTCTCAAGCAATAAGATTATAAATCTCGTATAGACGACAATCTCACACATCCCGATAGCGGCTCTTAGTTTCAGCAAATGCTATTCTTTCTATCCCCTAGTATCCGTCGAAATTGTGGTTCAGTATCCGCGATGCTTGATCGTGGAGAGGCTTCGCAGTGTGCTTTCCATTTTGTGTAGTCAGCTACTCTGGGTGCGAGCGATTTGTTTCGCATTTGTTATTTCTTTTGCGGTTATTGACACGCCCATGGTTGAATCCATCATTGATTCTGACCTTAGGCTTGTACTTTGGAGTAGCTATCCATGTAGGTCACATCAAGAGTGACATGATTTTGAGTCTTACGGCAGCTATGCTATTCACACCAAAGTTGGGTAACGGTCTCCAGGTTCGAACCTCAAACCTTGACGTCTAAAGCACGCTGATGATAAAAACTGGAACCGCATTACCACCACCGCTCGGATTTCACCAAAGTTGTTTGTAAATGTGCACATACATCCTTCGGTGATAAGCGTATCTCTCGTCCGGATGCGAATCATTATTGGATCCTGATCCACAACTGTCATTTTTTGCCTTTGATATCGGATTCATAGTGCTATCGCGTTGCCTGTTCGTTGTTCCAAGTCTACATGGGTTCCATTGAAAGTTAATACCAGTCGGAATCAACCTAGTCAGATAGACCAAAACTGAAATTTTAGCAACTTAGCTAATAAATGATGTTTTTCCGTCCATCATTCCACATTGTGGTTGAATGTCTACGCCATATCACGTTCTCCTACACAGTCGTCAGTACATCGTATTCACGTTCAGCGGGGTGTGATTG